GTGGGGACCAGGGCGTGTTGCACAACCGGAGTGTTAACGTGCTCGTCACGGACAACGTGGTCATCTCGCGATACTTACAGCGCCGTCTACAGACAAAGCGGATAAAGAGTTCAACGTTCATACAAGGGTGGACTGAGTATACGGGGTGAAGGTCTGGTAACATATTTCCGATTCTGACTGTACATACGGATTTACACCCGGAAAGGTGGTCGGACTGGAATTTCATCACGGATCGAATAGGGATGTGACGAAGTGGATTGAATTCAAATATTTTGTTTAAAAAACACTATTTGTGCGTGATACGCATTATAGACAACGGTAACGATGAAGTCGGACAAGCCGTTGTGGGTCCAGCACATGGAGGGGACGGTGACGCGGCCCGGCAGCGACTACTGGAAGACTACAGGGTCGACGGTAATATATCTTTTTCATTCTTGTACATGTTTTCGAGTTATGTCCATCTGTTTTCTAAGCACTGTGGATCAGGAGCGTTTCGTAAGAAAACAGTTTGTACTTTTGGTTATTTTCTTAATGCGCAATAACATAAATTTAAGTCCACATGTCTGTTGTTTTAACAAATTAATCAAAAGCACACGAGTGAGTGAGTGAATTGAGTTTAAAGCCGTTTTGAACAGAATTATCACAACGAGCTCGCTTAATGTGAGAGAAGAGCTTGACGGTCACAGAGGTTTATCGCTGTAGGGAAACACACGAGCATGGGTATGGTGCTGATAGGCCTAGAAACCTATTCTAGACAAACCGGGATTCGAACCCGGTCACAGGTACATGATGTACCAAAGAGGCGCAACCCGCCACAGGGTTGCAAAGTTGACCTGGGCAACTACGATTGTGGATATTGCTGAAGCAGGCTAAAGAAAAGATGCAATGTTGTCCAATGTAAATTAAATCAAACCGAGTGATCAAACCTGAACCAAGCAGACTCGACTGATGGGTCGAACAAGATGGCACACAATGAACCAGGGATCGGTGACACCATGTTAAACCATGGAAGGTACATTATGTTAGCGCTTAAATTGTTTCGTGGTATTGGACAGAGGTCATACATAGTCAGTTGTGGTGGTCCGATTAATTGAAATAATCGAAGATTGGTCGTAGTGCCTAAACGACCAAGCAGTCGATTGTGTTTTCTCATAATCGAACACAACCAATTTTGGAACACTTGTATGCATCAACAATATTTTACACAAGGTTGGTTTTGTCTGTGTCATTAAATTTACATTCCATAAGCACTACAAACTCGTTCCAAGTCATGGTTGAATTTATCTTAAAGAGTCCAGGAAATATGTGTTCCTAACATACTAATCATCCTTTAAATATGCGAAATTTGCCATGGATTTTGTGCAATTTGCAAAAGACCCAAATGACTACATGTTTTTTCTTTATTTTTTTTGTGTGCATTAACAAAGACAACAGGAACGTTTGATAAATGCCGCAAACCAATTATTTTCGATGATTTATCGGTTGTAATGAACCAATCATCAATTATGAGATTTTAACCAATTCCCAACACTATTAGTCAGTATCCCACCCGCAAGCTAATAGCATCGTTTTAATGGTAATTTGGAAAAGGAGATTTGTGTTAGGAGGAGGAGGGTGGGTTTAAGGCCCCCAATCTTCAAATTCCGAGCTTCACGTATCAGCGCTGGCGTATTTGATAAACCATTCTCTATATCGACCGCTGTGATACAGTTCAAGATAGTTTCACCACTCATTCATGGTTCTGTACCATATGGTTTTAAAAGGAAAAATATACCCCTCAAACGAGGTTGAAGAACACTCGAGGTGCTCATATGACCATGTCAAGACAAGCCGACGTGTGGTCAAATGAAACATTCGGGTGTCGTTAACATGGCTTTTTTCCGTCGTATATAAATGAAACCTTCTGGAATTGTTGCAAAACGACCAAATACCATAAACACCATTTGATTAGCTTTTTTATTTCAACCACTGCAATTGATAGTGACCAATCAGGATCATTAATATATCATTGGTTTAAAAAAAATAAATTAAAATAATACAAAATATAGCCACGGAATGTAAAGTGAAAGTAAAAGTAGCTTCGTGGCGGTTGTTTTACTTCTTTTTCACACTTAATAATACGGACATTAATGGTCTAATGAGGTTAATAATAGTAGAAATATAAATAAAAACATCAACAATAATAACGGCATATATACAGCAGAGTGACTTTACCTTCTATTGACTATTGAGGCAGAGTAGAAACATCAAGCCACATATTTACCTCTTGAGGGCATTATGTAACATTAATTTGCGTTGATCGTAGTGAGCCTGACGATTACAATACCACGAGTGAGCATAGGTGCATGCCGTTCTAAGTAATATTAAAGCAATATCACGATCTAAGACACCTAAAAAGGCTTAGCACGTTGCACCAATGTTGGGTATCAAACCTGGCTTTTTCGAGCGAAGCTTCTAAACACATTGATGTGCTCTATAGGAGGGAGCATTTGTTATACATCTGTTTCTGTTGCTCTGGAGTATATGTAAAGGAATCAATAAGACACAGCTCTGTACTTCTGTACGAAACTTTGTTTCAGGTAGAGGGACTAAAATTGAAATCTTTCACTCGGTCATCATACAATCGATAAATAGATTCAATCTGTTATCCAAATCGGCACTGCTATAGGTGAGTGAGTGAGTTATTATTTAACGTCACATCGGCAATATTTCAGCCATATCGTGACGAGAACATCTTTGACCTTGATAATATATGTATAATATAAAAACCCGATAAGGACAGTAAAACAACTAAATTCACAATTAAATTAACCCTTCAGTCCTTGTATAGAACAATACAATATAAAAACAGGATATAGATTGCCAACAACAGAAGGTAGATCACCATACTAGGGACCATGGGGACTTACAGTACCTTGCATGGTTTGGGCACTGTTATAAACGACTTAGCCATGTTAAACTTATGCTGAGCAGAAATAACCCAAAGGCCTAACCTGGAAAACATATCTTGTCAAGGTTTCAAACCTTTGAGCAGATGTTCCTAGAAAACAAATCTTCAGGGTTTCACTTTGACGGGTGTTCTAGTTAACCAACTGCAACTTGAGTGTCATTTTTCAATCCTCGACATCACAGTTTCAAACACACGTATATTGACTTGAGACACATATAACTGAAATATCAGTTATGATGTTTAATTACAAACTGTGTTTTATGCTTAACTTTGACTTTGCCCAGTTTAATCACAGAAGCATATTTTATGTGCATACATATGAGTCAGTGAATAGTCACGAGGTTTACAAGGTATATTTCAACCTATTTAACCTTACTTTACTATCACATTTCTGAAGTTCGATAACAGACGCATACTATTCCTGTACAGACAATGTCTTCGATTTCGTTATCTGATTTTGCTTCTAGAAATTGTAATACGTGACCATGTATCAAGAAATTATGTTCCCTGATTTTGGCTTCTAGAAATTATGTTCCCTGATTTGGATTCTAGGAAATACGTCCCTGATATGGCTTCTACGATTTATGTTCCCTGATTTTGCATCCAGAAAATATGTTCTCTGATTGATGTTATAGAAATGAAGTTCCCTGATTTGGCTTCTAGAAATTAAGTTCGCTGGCTTGGCTTCTAGAAATTTCGTTCCCGGATTTGGCTTCTAGAAATTATCTTCACTGATTTGGTTTCTAGAATGTGTACTCCCTGAATTGGCTCCTAATATTTGTGTTCCCTGAATTGTCTTCTAGAAATTACGTTCCTTGATTTGGCTCCTGATATTTGTGTTCCCTTATTTGGATTCTAGAAAATACATTCCCTGATATGGATTCTATGATTTATGGTTCCTGATTTTACATCCAGAAACTATGTCCTCTGATTTGGCTTCTAGAAATGATATTCCCTAATTTGGCTTCTAGAATTTGTGTTCCCTGATTTGGCTTCTAGAAAATATGTTCTCTGATTTTGGATCTAGAAATTATGTTTTCCAGATTCTTCATCTAGAAACTATGTTAACTGGTTTGGCTTCTGGGAATTATGTTACCTGATTTTGCATCTTGAAAATTATCTTTCCTAATTTTGTTTGCCATGGCAGTTCAGTACAACTGATTCTATCATAAACTGCAGAACTTGCTTATTCTCTGGGCGTTCCTTATTCAGTGGCATTATTTAACATATAGACACATACACAGCTCGAATTGATATGCAGGATAGTGGGGGAACTGTCTACAACCCACTCCTGGCAAACAGGAAACTTTGCTTATAACGAACTGAAGGATATAACGGACGTTATGTTGGTTTGTTTGTTTGACACGGCCAGTTGCTGTATATCATAGTCGAAAAGCATATAACGAACTACGATTATAAAGAACTAAAATTAGAGTTAATTATAACGTTGTCTGTATATGGAAGACTATCACCTATATAGAGGTATCTGATGGTTCTCCCTCGACACCGTTACGTTCCCTGATTTGGCTCCTGATATTTGTGTTCCCTGATTTGGATTCTAGAAAATACGTTCCCTGATATGGCTTTTATGATTTTGTTCCCTGATTTTGCATCCAGAAATTATGTTCCCTGATTCATGTTATAGAATTGAAGTTCCCTGATTTGACTTCTAGAAATTAAGTTCGCTGGCTTCGCTTCTAGAAATTTCGTTCCCGGATTTGGCTTCTAGGAATTATATTCCCTGATTTGGTTTCTAGAATGTGTACACCCTGAATTGTCTTCTAGAAATTACGCTGCCTGATTTGGCTCCTAATATTTGTGTTCCCTGAATTGTCTTCTAGAAATTACGTTCCCTGATTTGGCTCCTGATATTTGTGTTCCCTGAGTTGGATTCTAGAAAATACGTTCCCTGATATGGATTCTATGATTTATGTTCCCTGACTGTACATCCAGAAATTATGTTCCCTGATTTGGCTTCTAGAAATGATATATAGAGGTATCTGATGGTTCTCCCTCGACACCATTGTCATCATATTAGTGCCATTAATATTTTGTTTGTGAGAGAGTATGTTTGTAAGCTACCTTTAGCAATATTCCATCAATATAACGGCGGGGGACACCAGAAATGGCCTTCACACATTGTACCCATATGGGGGAATCGAACCCGGGTCTTCAGCGTGACGAGCGAACGCTTTAACCACTACGCTGCCCAACCGCCCCCATATTGTATTTGTCAATACACAAGAAAAGAATGCTAGAACGTATTAGGACAGCAGTGTAGAGTTTTAAAAGTTGGCTTCTTAAATGATGTGTTTTGTTTTTGTTTCAATTTGGGATGGCGTTGGTAATGTTTGGTCAGACCCAACGGTTTGGTATTGTATTCCTTGACCAGGTAGTTCAAACAACAAAGACGGATGAAGCAGCTTATTGCACACATTATTCAGCACACTTGTAACTGAGAAACATCATTGTCGTAAATGCTTGGGAATCTGTATTGAGATTAAACTTATTAAGAAGATGAACCATGAAACAGAACTATATTTGGGCGTGTTTGTCTTACCTACAATTGGTTTGGTTTGGTTGTTGTTTAATGCCGCACTCAGAAATGTAGATATATGGTGGCGGTCTGTATATAATTGATTCTGGACCAGGCATTTCAGTGATTAACAGCATGAGCATCGATCGGATATATGTAATACGTGACATGTGTCAACCAACCCGATCCCGTTAGTCGTCTCTTACGACAAGCATGGGTTGCTGTTGGACAATTAACCGGGATCTTCACGGGTCGCCTTCCATGACAACCCATACTCATTTCATCAGAAACACATAACCCGCCCATTTGTTTGGGTTTAAGTGTAACATTGTTCATTTAACTGGTTAAATGTATGTACAGACAGTTTATTCTTGCAATAAAGCTATATGTATAAATGATCACTTTATGTATCATACATGCATTTAGGGGTGGTGGGGTAGCCTTGTGGTTAAAGCGTGCGCTCGTCACGCCGAAGACCCTGGTTCGATTCCCCACATGGGTACAATGTGTGAACTCGTATCTGGTGTCCCCAGCCGTGATATTGCTGGAATATTGCTAAAAGCAGCGTAAAACTAAACTCATTCACTCACTCACATGTATTTAAGTTGTACATTGATGTAAACTTGTACCTCTAATCCCGCAGAACGCGACCGGAGTGTAAATACAGTTCAGGGCCCCGTTCCTCAAAGCGATCTTAGCACTACGATGATCGTAACTCCCATACTTTAACATAGACTTACGACTGTCGTAGCGCTACGATCGCTTTGAGGAACGGGGCCCAGTTCAGTTATTACGGCTATACTGATCACTGTTTTACATCTGTGTCCGTTGACTTATAAATAGGTTAACCGTTAACGACGTTATTGTAAACAAGTCCAGACATTACGCTCCCCTCGGCCTTTCGCCGTCACCAAGTGTTTTACTTACCGACAAGATCAAAGTTGTTTTCATCCAGCAAACAGGCTGAGCTGGTTTTTGAGTTATATTCTACTTATAGCGAGGGATTGCGTGCGTCAGGCTATCTTACATATCTTGATTAATTACTCACGTACAAAATAACTTACTTTAATAGAGCCACGAGAAAGGTTCTCTGTTTAATATTCAGAGTTCAAAGCGTAGTGGTTTGCTTTCATCTAAGTATAATACCCGGGTTGATGTCTGAATGTTGCCCTTATACCGACCAGTGTAACGTTAGTCGCTAAAATGAAACAAATTCAACACAAAAATAAAATTAAAATATTTTCACAGTTAAAAGAAGCCCGGAGATTCAACTGCCTGGGGCAGGCCAATCAAGACTTATTTCTAATTTTCTAATGATACAGGGACAGGGACTGTAATACTGCTGAAACAAATATCTGCTCATGATATAGTCACAATTTGGCAGATATTTCTTATGAATGTGGAAAGGTTTTTGTCGCTTCTTTTGAAAAGTGTACATCTCTGAACACGGTCCTGCCAGTAGACTTGCAGTGCAGCATTAGACATTGCAGAGTGACCTCACATTTATGACGTCATAGCAATGTGAGTCATGTAATTGATGACGTCAGGGAATCCTACAAAATCTACACACAAGCAATATATCCTGATGATAAAGAGGATATTTTGTTAATGTTGTCAAATAACATGTATATTTCATTTAGAGGTCGGACGAAGTTGATATGTTCACTCGTGGTTGAAATATACATGTTAATTGACAACATTAACAAAATATTCTGTTTATCATTTGTTGATCATTGTTTATAAATGATCGAGACATCGAGTACGTGTGCATTTTATTACGCAACCCAACTACAGTCTAGCCCTTTAGCAGAAAGTAGTTCCAGGTCAAAGTGGTGTTCTACTCAGTGAAATAACATGTTATTCTACACAGTGAAAATACCATTTTTATTTTCACCAATATTTACCTTATTTCACCCTTAAAAATATAATAAAAAATGATATTCCGAATTCGCTGCACAATCACCAATCATGATTGTCGCCACATATATACTCATGCCAATAATGGTTGTCACCCTCTCCCACCCCAACCCCCACACCCCTCACACACCCACCCCACAACCCCTCTCAATTAAAAAATTGAAGGGGTGACAACCATTATTGGCATGAGTATATTATATATAGGACTTCTGTGACAGACTAATAACTAACAACCTTCTGCATATATATGAACTGATTTTAAGGGACTTATGTATCTTAAAACATTAAACGTTTTAAATGTGTAAAGTGTTTCATGTTATGTATATTTTGCGATCATGAGCAAATTGTACATAAAATATTCAAATCGTAAAGCGAGAACGTAGCTATAGATTTTATATCAAACTTCAACTTCAGGCACTGTCATTCTAGAATATAACATTAAACTTTGTGAACTTAAAAACTTACACCTTACAACTTTAAACTTTGTAAAGATATAGCTATACCTAGAACTTGTCATACCGTGATACTTCAAGAAAACATGATCTTATCTTTAGCATAAGTCATTAGATTTGCAGAAAACGTACGTAAAAGTTGTAATTGTCGGGCACCTTCCTGGTGTGCACGTTAATATAACAACAGCTGACTATTTGAGTTCAGGTAATGACAGAGCTGCATATATAACCTCGAGAGGTAAGCTTGCAGGGAGCAAATACGAGTAAATTAATTATCACGCAGCCACACCTGGTACTTATTAAGCAAATATCCACATGGTATTCCGATAAAGGACGAGACAGACGTCTTTCCATGTTCGAGATGTATTCGTGTACTTTCATTCAACTACTTTCTTTCATGAGAAGGTCTGGCATTAAATGGCAATGGAACCGTAGTAGTGTACTTAGATTTACGTAGAGAGTGTACGTAGTACGTACATCATACTTCTATATATGTTGCTCAACGTATCATGGTAGATCTGTCCGCGTAAATGTGAATAGTACCTACCTATGTACGATTCATCTGCGTACACGTGAATAGTACCTGACCCTATATAAGTATCATCCACGTAATTGTGAGTACTGCCTACTTAGATGTACTTATCATCCACGTATAGTGCCTATGTAGATGTATTATTAACGTGGATGTGAGTAGTAGATACACACATGTATCATCAAAGTATATGTGAATAGTGCCTACGTAGATGTAAGTAATATCCAAGTACATGTGAATAGTGCCTACGTAGATGTAAGTAATATCCAAGTACATGTGAATAATGCCTACGTAGATGTAAGTAATATCCAAGTATATGTGAATAGTTCCTACGTAGATGTAAGTAATATCCAAGTACATGTGAATACTGTCTATGTAAATGTAAAATATATCCAAGTACATGTGAATAGTGCCTACGTAGATGTAATAGTAATATCCAAGTAGTATGTGAATAATGCCTACGTAGATGTAAGTAATATCCAAGTACATATGAATAGTGCCAATTAGATGTAAGTAATATCCAAGTACTTGTGAACAGTGCCGTATATACGCAGGTGTAAGTATTATCCACGTAGATATGAGTAGTATCAACCTAGATATATCATCCAGATATAATTAAGGTTTTCTTCTCTTATTTGCGGATGATGTCGCACTTATCTCAAACACAATATGTGAAACGCATCAACTATCTTTGAAAACTATTGCTTTTAAGAGTGGTGGATTACTCTCTACACTTAAAAAGTGGTTACTATAAAGGTTGTTATTTGCAAATGTCTTACACACTATCAATTTTGTTGTCTTGGTCAAAAAGCATGTTGATAGTGTTATTAATGCAGGATAAACGTGCCTTATTTGCTATTTTGAGCTCATTGTCACAAATTAGGGACACTGCCTTTGAAACTATTTTTAATATGTTCTTACTCTAAAGGGCCGATCTTAATGTATGGAGTGGAGATTTGAGGATTGTCATACTGTAAGCGCAGTACACGTTCTTGCGTGTAAACGCTCTTTGGGGTAAAGTCTGTAATTACTAATCACGTAGTGCGAGGAGAATGTGGAAGATACCCAATCTATATAACCGGTTATACAAACTGCATAAAATATTGGTTAACTTTGGCCGTAGCACCATCCACGTTGAAATGAGTAGTGCCTACATAGATGTAAAGTATCATCCACGTTGAAATGAGTAGTGCCTACGTAGATGTAAGTATTATCCATGTTGAAATGAGTAGTGCCTACGTAGATGCTAAACATCATCCATGTTGAAATGAGTAGTGCCTACGTAGATGTAAACATATTATCCACGTTGAAATGAGTAGTGCCTACGTAGATGTAAACATCATCCATGTTGAAATGAGAAGTGCCTACGTAGATGTAAGCATCATCCACGATGAAATGAGTAGTGCATACATAGATGTAAGTATTATCCACGTTGGAAATGAGTAGTGCCTACGTAGATGTAAAACATCATCCATGTTGAAATGAGTAGTGCCTACGTAGATGTAAAGCATCATCCACGTTGAAATGAGTAGTGCCTACGTAGATGTAAAGCATCATCCACGTTGAAATGAGTGCTGCCTACATGGATGTAAGTATCATCCACGTTGAAATGAGTAGTTGCCTACGTAGATGTAAACATCATCCATGTTGAAATGAAGTGCCTACGTAGATGTAAGTATCATCCACGATGAAATGAGTAGTGCATACATAGATGTAAGTATTATCCACGTTGAAATGAGTAGTGCCTACGTAGATGTAAACATCATCCATGTTGAAATGAGTAGTGCCTACGTAG